TGATGGAGTCCCTTGGACCTCCCTGCCCCAGGCCATGCGAAGGTTAGGCAGGACTGATGGCCAGTCCAGGCAGGCCTTGAACGGTTCTGCTCTGAAGCTTGGAGCGTATCTCTGATAAACAATGATGTTGTGTGTAGTGATTGTCTCGAAGCCTTCTAACTAGCAGTTGATGGATCTGGGATTTTAACCCAAACATTTGTCTCAAGATCTGCAATGGATGTCATTTTTCTGCTTTTTTGAGAGAGACAGAAATATAGTTACAGGTGTCATTTCTGTTTGCCCATGTCCCTGAGGTTACAGGAACTACTTTATTGGAATGGCTAGTCATTTGCACTGCTGTTTTACCAGCTAACTTTCTTCATCTCTCTTTCGCATACATACCCTCGCTTGATTTACTGTTTTGATCTCCAGTGAAGTTCCATGAGGGCAGAATTTCAGACGAGATTGAGCACGTTCAGGATGGTGTGGCCGTAGACAGAGGGCAGAATTTCAGATTCCCCTAGCTAGGTCACTGCAACATCCCTGTTATCCAGCGTCTGGCGTTATTCACAGTATCCAGTTGCATATTGCTTGATGTTGAGTGACTAAATGATTTTACCTCTTTTTTTTTTTTTTTTTTTGGCAGAACCAGGAATTGAACTCAGGCCCTTGTGCTTGCCAGAGAAGCGCTTATTCCACTGAACCATCTCCCTGGCCCCTTTGAGTGACTAAATGAATTTGCCTCCTGTTTGCTTTCTTGTGTGGAATCTTGGTAGAACTAGTAAGCGGACCTTCCCCAAGCCCTAAGGAAGGTCTTCATGTGCCTTGATAAAAGCTGAAAGGAGGACTGGGAGTCATACAGCAGGTTCCAGTGAAGCATTAATGGTACAGATGAGCCAGTTGTGGTTTTCTTGAGTAAGCCTTAGGAGCTAGGTGCCCTGGATGTCTCGGTGTCAGAAGGTGGGTTGTGTCTTTGCGGTTTCCTCCAAGTAAGGGGATCCTGATCCCAGGTGTTCATTCCAGAACTCTTTAAGTGGCAAAATTTTAGTTGCCCACAATTCTCAGTAAAACTGTTTTCTTTCCTTTAGTTGAGACGGGAGAAGATTGACCTTGAAAACACATTGGAACAAGAACAAGAAGCTCTAGTTAATCGCCTCTGGAAAAGGATGGATAAACTTGAAGCTGAAAAGCGGTGCGTTGGGCCTTGGTCTCCATGTGGGCGGTGTGTGTCTCTCGGCAGACCACTGTGGGTGTGGCTGAGGGACAGCAAGGAGGTATTTTAATTTCTCCGGGAACATATATCCTTTTACTTTGCCAAAGGAAAAACAAGTTGACCTTCTGAATTCTTCCATGTTGGTCACTTTGTTATATTTTGTCACCTCCTTCTTTGGCATCGTGGGCAGTGACACAGTCCTGATGCTCTTGCTCTCGAGAGAACCTGCCGCTCCAGCATCTCCCCTTTTCTGCCTGCTTTCCTCAGCCAGTTTCTGAAGTGCTCAGTGTGTGGTCTGTGCTATTCTTCTTCTTTTTTATTTTTTTAAAGAATAAAACTGTAAAAATAGAAATGGTACAGAATGTCACTAAACAAAATTATAAGAATTCAACAGTAGTTGTCATTTTGCATATTGTTGTCTTAAAATCGGTTGCTCAGATTACCAGATATGAGCATGAAAAATTGGCCAAAAAATTATTAAAAATTTAGAAGGAGAGAGAAAAAGAAGCATTAACTGCTCCTCTCAGTAGACAGCAGAACTTGGCAGTACAGCTGTCCGCGCTGTCCTGTGTGTGTACATACGCATTGTCTGTGTTATTCTTACATATCTCTAAACTTTGCTTGGGATGGCTGAGATTTTAGTAGAAAATTTGCTGTTTTAAAATACACTATGGGAAAAATAAAAATAAAATATACTATGGAATAAGGGAACATCTGTATATACTTAAGGTGAAAATGTTTTTGTAAATATACAGACATGTAAAATGTTACTTAGTGCCACTCATTTCTGCAAGAAACTGTTAGGTCCTTGTATGTATGTATGTATGTATGTATGTATGTATGTATGTATGGACTTATTATTTTGGCCTGCTCTGCCCACCCCGAGGGCAGGGCTGGTGCGGCATGTGGTGCTGGGGATCTAACCACGGTCCCTGTGCTTGCCTAAGCAGGCACTTTAGACCGCTGAGCTGTCTTGCCAGCCTTAAACTCTTGATTTTAATCATGTTGTACTTCAGGGGTAGTGAGAAAGGACATGTAAGAATGGTGGGCAGGTCCTGTGTATCCACCATGCAAGTGGACGTAAATGAGGTTGTTTGGAAAACATTTAATAGTTTGCTTCCCCAAAATCTTTCCTTTGCTGCGCAGAGTCTTTCTGCCACAAATAGTTGGCTTGAATATGCATTTATAAATTTTTTTAAAATCATCTCTGAATTTGCAAAATACATGACACAGCTTTAAGAAAAGTAAAAGCTCACTATAAGAAACATTCAAGATTTGCATGAAACAGCTATATTTTGCATCTTGTGGCAGTACTAAATTATAGTAATAAACTATGGAGAGTCACTGTATACAACAGAGTAGGGACCCTTCTGGTATTAACTAGTACTACCATGCTCTCAATAAGGGTAGGCCTGGGGGTAATTTACAGTGTGTACTTGCACAAAAACAAAGGTTAGAAAGCTAAAAATAAGCCCCTGAAATGCCAGCAGTGTATAGCAGGGAATTAAAGGTCGGTTGCAGGCCACTCTTCCTTTATAGGGCACGGTTGGAGGCCTTATGCATATTCATACCAAGTTGTTGAGTGGAGTAATTGGAGATAATTGTTTTATAGATCAAAAGCTATTGAACTTTATACACTTCCACCTAAGGATAATTTCTGGATATGGTGGTATCACCGATTATCAAACAGATAATGCTGGTTTGATTCTGAATCTTTTAGCTTTGCCAGCAGCCAGGGCCCGCTGTGCAGTTTGCCAGGTCCTAGGCATTGGTCCTGACCTTACGATGTTGAATTTCTTCACATGACTTCTCCCTCTAAAGCAGGTCGAAGTAGTGCATAGGCATTCACAAGGTCGCTTACCTCCTGTCCCTGTTCTTACATCAGCCGCTGTGACCAAAGCATTGAGTGGAATTCCCATACCATCCCTGACATGTTAAAAATATAGTCAATGACTACTTCTGCGTGCCTCTGTGTTCCAGGCATAGTAGTTAGAACCAAGTAGCAGAGGCTTCTCAGTAATGCTAAATACCAGTCATCATGAGAAAGACACACATGAGGTCCTTCAGCTGTGCCCTCTGCCCTGGGGTGCCGAGCAAGGGTGCCCAGAAGTGCGAGTGAGCGTGGGTGGAGGAGCTGAGCTGCCTGAGCGCGCTGGCCATGCTGGAGCTGGCTTCCTGGCAGGCAGCATTTTGTTTTGTCTTCCTGAAGGCAAACTGTGTTTCACTTTTGGAAATTTTCTTTGCATTGAAGAATCTTGCAGGAGAAATTAGACCAGCCTGTGTCTGCTCCACCATCGCCCAGAGACATCTCCATGGAGATTGATTCTCCAGAAAACATGATGCGCCACATCAGGTTTCTGAAGAATGAAGTGGAGCGCCTCAAGAAGCAGCTGAGGGCCGCCCAGCTACAGCGTATGTAGCCTTCTGCTTCATGCTGTATTTTATTCCTGGTCAAGCTTTGCATAAACTTACTGTCATCCTAGAAGAGATTTTTAAAATAGTGCAGTGGGAGACACCACTATAGGTGCTTCAGAGGGTAATTCAGGGGGGGACCAGAATCACAGGCAGTGTCTTTACTCTTTGCCCATGTTCAGTCTAGGATTGTGCTAACCGAACAGTGTGGGACACTTGAGTGTATTTTGGGACTATTAAGGTAGGAAGTAGAGTGTTCACCATTCACACTGGTGCAGCACTGGGGCCTTTGTGCTGGGGTACAACGAGTTGTCGGGGTTGGGCTCGAGCTTGAGATGCTCCTGCCTCAGCCTCCCACCTCAGCCTCCCAGAGTGCTTCTATTACGTGCGTGTGTCACCATGCCCAACTCTAAATTTAGTCTTTTCTTTTTTTTTTTTTTTGCCAATTTAAATATTTATTGAAGACATTGCATTTTCACTTACAGTACAGTGCTTAAAGTGCAATGCTATGTTTCCCTG